TTTGAATATTCTCCAAAACCCTTACCGCATCCTAATGGACACGGTCCCTGTCTAACTCTCCCACCTTTTCTGCCACTCTTTCCCCTCTTCACTGGACTCCAGCCATGCTGCCCCCCATGTTCATCCACAGAAGCATTTCTGCCTGGAGCCTCCCTGTGCTAGGGACGCCACTGGACACCATTTGTGGGCTCCCCACAAGGCTTTGCACTGGAACATGGTATCCTCAGAGTGGCTTCTCTCACCATCCTCTCTACCTCGGCTGCCCCCAACACCATCCATCTTTCACTCTGTCATTTTCAGCCACTCATCTCTACCTGACGCTACCTCTTATTTTACTTGCTGTTGCTATTCTTCCCCAGGAGGATGACAGTCCTATCCAAGGATGGCTTTGGCTTGTTATTTTAATTGCTCTTGTTTACCACACATTCACTACATCTACCACTTCCTGGCATAGAGCAGGCACTGCATGCGTAAAGGATCTCCGTCACCTCACTTCATTTGATCTCGTTTCCTTCCTTCGCCCCTCCCTTCCTCCATCCCTTATCTCCTTCCTTCCTCCCTCCCTTTTCTCCTTCCTTCCTTCCTTTGTTCCTTGCTTCCTTCCTTCCTTGCTTCCTTCTTCTTTCTTTCCTTCTTTTCTTTCTTTCTTTCCTTCTTTTTTTACAATTAAGGTCTTAGGTTTTAGGGTTTCTCAGGTGCCTTTTTGATTTGATGCTCTGGAATTCTACAGCCTTCCTATTGTTCACTACTCTACCTGTAATGCACAGGCAATAAGACAGTAGCAGATACAGATAATTCTAAAGAAAATGCGTCCATAAAATCCTATTTCCAAGAAGTGGATATGAGTAATGGCTTAGTGCACATCCTACCATGCTTGTTTCTGTATGTGTGTTGGGATCCAGCATTCCCCAGAGATGAAGTTTGCCCGGAAGAGTCAGAATGCTTGTTTTTGAGTCCCCACTTTGGCATTTCATATGAGTAACTGTGAGTGAGCTACTTACCTTCTTTGTGCCTCTGTTTCTTTACATGGAAAATGGAAGATAGTAATCCTCCTGATCTCATTAGGTTATTTTTAAGAAGAAGTGAGTTAATAGATGTAAAGAACTTAGAACACTGAGTAGCATCTTACAAAGACTACAAATATTAGCACTCTTTTTGTTCATCTTGATATGTACAGGCTGTTCCGGCCACCTTGAACTTTGCCTGCTCCTGCTTGCCCTTCGGCCTCCTCTTGTGAATTCTCCCTCCTCCAAGGCTTGACAATCTTATCTGTGTGCAGACCTACTTCATCTGGTTCACAGTAGTGGGTTTAACGTCTTGAAACATTCACTGGGATTAGCCACTTGCCAGTATTGATCCAATTCCTACTTGGTCTAAACACTGGGGACATTCCAAAGATTTGCAAATGCTGATTAATTTCCTCCATGTCCTTGTATACTAGTTGGGAATGTGGAGCACACACAAAATGGTAAACAGTACCCGGGATGGATCAAATGCAAATATCTTGGCACAATTAGTAGCTATCGGAGAAACCCTGAGGAGGAGAGGGGCTTTGTGGTCAAGCTCCTTGGCTTGATCAAGACGTCTGTGGCCCTGCACAATCCATACCACTTACCTCTTCCATCTCATCTCTCTCCAGTCTTCTCCCTGCAACCTCTTTTCATGCCACAACTTGGCTACACCAAATTTTGTCCTGTCCCTCAAATGCTCCATAACTCTGTATTATCTCCAAGTCTTGGGATGCTTTCTTTTGCACAGAACACTATCCACCAACCTCTTTGACACCCAGCTATCCAATTCGACTTTCAGAAATCAATACTTTCTCCAGGAGAAGTCCCCCGCCATGCCTGGGTTTGGAGCCCTTCCTATCTGCTGCTTTAGCACACGTGCATTTTGTGACTATCTTTCTCACTTCCTTCTCTTGTAAGACTTCCATGTGAGAAGTTTGCCAAACTCGCAGCTCCTGTCTGTATTCCCATGCCTTTCATAAAATGTGGGTTAAACACAAATCTATTGAATAAATGATTAAATTGGCTACTGTTTTGGAAGAATTGTTTATCTTCATTCAGAAACATCTATTAAGAGGCACAATAAAAAAAAAATTCTTCCAGAGAAAAACGAAAGTATTTTATCTGGCAAAGCAGTAATTAAAAGACAGTCTCAGTGCTCAGGACTGACATTTGAGTCCCTGTTTTTCAATTTTTCACATCTAAGAATCTCTTGGTCTGAGCATCCCATAGCTACACAATATCCCAGCCATTCTGGAAAGAGTACTCACTTTCCCATGAAACTAATTATGGATTGGTCAGGCCCATCTGGGGTGCCATGTTTTTATGCCTCTGGGTATGCAGAGATAACCCATATGTTCCTTTTTTTCCAGAGCTACTTGAAAAATTGAAATGTGTCTGTTTCCTTCCTCATCCCAAACATATATTTCATGAAGGAGAACTCACATAATAGGTGACATGGGCTGACTGCAACACCATTTGCCTGCCATTTTCTTATGGGCTCCACTCTCCAGGGTCTGAATCCTATTCTGCTCTTCCTTAGGGTGACTTCCAACAGAAACCCTGAAGCTACCCAACGCTGGCACTTCTACCATTTCTATCGTATGATTTCTTGCTCCAGCATGTTCTCTGAACCATGTCCTTCTAGGTCTGGATGTCTGTCTGAGGACTGAGGTTGAATTTGCCACATCTTTATTTGGCCTTAACTTCTGATTATTGAATCAAGCTCAGAGACTGTCACCTCTGCACTACTCTGACTCACATTACAGCTAATTTTCTCACAAATTCTCCCCACCTGGCTTCCAGAGTTCTGTGTTTTGCTGTATAATTACAAACCTTATTGGGGGAAAAAGTTTCATCGTAACTAAAAAGTACAACATGTTTTCTCTTTGTCCTCCAAACCATAGAGGACAAAGCTAGACACATAGGGGTCTCTCAAACCGTGTGTGTGTGTGTGTGTGTGTGTGTGTGTGTGTGTGTGTGTGT